TACTTTCAATAATTGCTTTAAAAAATTGTAGAAGATTATTTAAGGTGTTTTATGCAAAAAAAATGCCTTCAATACATCTTATTGTCAATGAATCTACCAAAAATGGGGTAACGTTGTCGGTTAGAACATACAGTCCTTAATTATAAAATTGTAGGTTTGATCACTCTCTTTAACATTTTTTAGATGTTTTGAAGGATTATTAAAGGTGTTTCTGATAAAAAACGCCTTCAATAATTTCTCTAAAAAATTGGAGGCGATTATTTAAGGCATTTTTGACCAGAAACACCTTCAGTAATCCCTTAAAAAATTTTAAAAATGCTAAAGGAAATTATCAAACTTACGACCTTATAATTAACAACCATATACTCTAACCGACAATGCTACTCTATTTTTTATAAATTTATTGATAAAGAGATTTATTGAAGGTTTTTTTAACCAAAAACACATTCAATAATCTTTTATAATTTTTTAGAGAAATTATTGAAGGTGATTTTTTTTTTTTTATAGAAAACACCTTTAATAATCGCTTCTATTTTTTATAAGCAGATTATTCAAGACGTTTTTGCTTAAAACGCCTTCAATAATCCTTTATAAAAAATTAGAGGGGATTATTAAAGGCATTTTTTGCCCAAAAACACCTTTAATAATCCCCTCATAAAAAAATGAAGAGGATTATTGAAGACTTTTTTTGACCGAAAATTTATTAATTAGATTATAAAATGTGAGTTCGATAAAAAACGCATTCAAGAATCGGCTTCATTTTTTTTATGGATTATTAAGGGCATTTCTCTACAAAAAAACGCCTTCAATATTCTCTACAAAATTTTTTAAAGCAATTGGTAAGGGCGTTTTTATCAAAAAAATACCTAAAATAATCAATTATAAATAATATATGCAAAAACCCAAAAAATGCTAAAATGAAAGATCGAAACTATAACCTTATGATTAATATCCATATGATCCAAATATTTTGATATGATATTTATTGAAGGTGTTTTTGAGCAAAAACGATTTCAATAAACCTGTGTAATTTTTTGATCCAATTATTAAAGGAGTTTCTTGTAAAAAATACCTTTAATAATCTCATATAATTTTTTATTAGGTGATTATTGAAGGTATTGCTGTCAAAAATACGCCTTTAGTATTTACTGAAAATTTTAAGATAGGATTATTCAAGGTATTTTGATCGAAAAATATCATTAATATCAAGTATTGAGTGACGTTTATAAGTAACAATACCGTAAATAACATCGCTATTTAAATATTTAGTAACGTTTTGATAATAAAATTTTAAATTTTATAAAAACACAAAAAATAACAACGTTTATAAGTGAAAAATTGTTATAAAATTATTGTTAATATGTCATTTTTTTGTAGTGAATCAATCATCGATGAACAGACATCGGCATAAAAATGTTGCATCAATTCAAATAAACCACGCAACTACCGATTCAATCTATTCCTGAACGTGCAGAAATTTTCAAAGTCACTTGGCAAGTAAGTCCATATACACTTGAAATCAACAATGATACGATAAAAATCTGCTAATTTAATCATATTGTTAAATTTGTCATAATTTATGCCAAATTCCAATACATTTCATGTTACTAAATGAAACGGCTCCATTCCATTTATTTATATAATTATATTATGAGAAGAGTAAAAAATATATAAAATTAAAATATTTTACATTAATATAAATTAATCACTCTTCTTAAATTATTAAGTAAATAGAAAATATGTTCATTGAATTTGGACCAGATACCATCTTCATCTTTAACTTTTAAAACAAATTTATTGATTCCGATTGTCAAATCCGTTTGCAAAATTATTTATTTTAAAGTTAAACGTCAGTTAGTGTCACTTTTAGGCTATGTTGCACCAACAAACATGTACGGAATAAATGATGTGTTTATTATTTTTTTTTAAATTTGAAATTTAGAAAAAAAAACAGATTTTTAATATTTTAAAAAGGGTAAAGGAGAAAAAAACCAATAGTAAAATTGCATAGAAAAAGAAATCTAAAAAAGAAATAGATAAGGGAAAATTCGCAGTAGCCGATCTTAAATTTCACACTCATCATCTTCTCTTTTTATTTTATTTTATTTTATCAATTTCTTATCCTTTATCTACAGTTACCTAATTTTTCTCCCTCTATCTCTTCCTATTTCCCCTTTCCTTCTTAACCGATCTTCCCTTACCAATTTTGCTTTTAGTTTTTGCGTTTTTTTTTTCTATATAATTTGACTCTTTAATTTCTTTTCTCATTTTAAAATATTAGAAAAATATTTTTTTAATTTCTAAAATATTTTTTCTCAAAAAATAGGTTTCATATATTACTTTATACATGCTAAACTATTAGTTGGTGCCACTTATTATACATATGATGTCAACTAACATTTAATATAAAAGTTGATGATACCGACAAATTATATTTTGAAGATTAAAAATCAAACTAAATATTTCATTGAAAATTCAAAAATCATACGGGTTATTTATTTTAAATTATTTATGATTAAGGAGAACTGCCCATTTGAATGAAGATGTGCAATATTTAGATTGACTTTATATAATTGAACTTCCCCAAATTGGTCCTAAATTATTTAAGGGTTCCTCTTTTCTTTTCTTTTCTTTTTTTCTTAAATTACACTAATAATTAAATTTATAATCAAATATTACATTCATATAATCAATTATTATATTATTAAATAATCAATTAAAAAATTATAGCTTTAACTAAACAATCAAACCCTCTTTATTGTTAATAATTAATGTAAGATAAATTTGGGACATGTTTGGTTTGCAGTCGGTTAGAAGGACATGCTCTCACGAATCATCCTACACTATTATTTTATAAATAAATCATTGAAATAAAGATACTGTATTTTCCCCTCTCTAATCCCAATATAATACAATGTTTGAGATGATGCCTTGTGCTTTCAAAAAGTTGTTATGATTCTAGTGAGATATAGTTGGGGGTTGTACTTAAGAAAACTGAAATCCCTTATCCACCCACTGTATTGACAAAGTGTTAGCTTTCTTAAAAAGTAATGCAAGAATCTTGTACTCTCTTTCTAGGACATCCACTGCTTTATTGTTCGATACAGTAGACCTTGACTTTATTAAAAGGATTTGGCAAAACCAAAAAACTCGATCAAAGGGATAAGAAGATGAATATTTTTGAAAGAACATTGTCATCAGAGATCCTATTACTGTCTCCGGGTGCCGAGGAACTTATATGGAAGGGATGGTATTAGAATCTGCTGAGGATGGGATTTTATTAAGAATCAAACAAACAAACAAACAAATAGCACAGAAATTTTCCCTATCAAGTCCTTTCTTTCTTTTTGGCAGTGTTGTGTCATGTATCAGATTCCAACCAAGGGTGCAGCCGAGCCAAGTTGCCCTTGTGGATATGAGGTTCAGTAGGACCGCTCTTGACCCTACTCCACCATACAGATGGAAAATGGAGACTCAATCCAGACCTTGAGACTTTTCTTTTTAATAATAGAGGCTTTCTTCAATTCTCAAGTAAGGGTACAGATTTGAAGTTTTCCGCTCATCTTAGGAAGGGTTTTACTTTCCGGGCGGATAGTGCCAACAAAAACTCATTACTATTTGAATCCAAAATCTGTTAATTCATACAATGTTTTTAATTCTGGTTTCCGAAGTTTTAGAGTAAAATCTCAATGGTTAGGATAGGAATTTTCATGGCATGGGCAGTGAGGACCTTCAAAGTGAATGGGACCCCGATCGACCACGACCTTATGTTATGCTTAGTATTTCCTGGACAACTTACCTTGTGTTACTGAACTTCAGCACGTGAGCAATTTGTCCAACTGGCTGGACGATAAGAAAACAGATGACAAGAAAGTCCTTGCCCAACGTGTTCCTTCCATATACTTTACTACATCAGGAGACCTCACCCACACTCTCTATGTGTGTAATGAGCCGAGATTTAATTTTTAGATTTACCTGATTTTAAGATTTGGATATACATTTATTTGATATTTTAAATTAATTTATAATTTACATATTTATGAGATATTATCTATTTTTTGACTTTGGCCTCACAATTTTGTTTCAAGATCAATTCAACTTTAAGACTTGGATATACATTTATTCGATGTCTTAGATCAATTTATGATTTATACTTTTATAAGATATTATCTGAAGATCAATTTTAGTACACAATCAATGTAGGATTCTTGATTCTATTGTAAGAGCATAACAGTTTCTCTCACTCCAATGAAGACCTCCCATCTTCGATGACACATTACTTGTATTTTCAAAATTAACTTTAATATCACTTATTACAGGTTGAGACTCAATTTTTAAATTTGTGCAATTTCAAGACTCGAACGTACACTTATTCGATATCTCAAATCAACAAACTTTTCATGATTCACATTTTTATTATCTAATCTGATCCCTCACAAAAAAAAATGTGTAAACTTTTATATCTCAAAATCAATTTTATTACACAATCGATTTGAGATTCTTTGCTCTATTCCGTGACCGTGACATAGGACCCGCTATCGACTTGGTATCTTCTACTACAAAAACAAAGTGAATGAACTTTTTACTTGTGTAATCAGAATCAGAGAAACTGTTTTGATTTTTATGCGATCAACAATGCCAATTGGATGTTGCTCCTTCAGTGTCATTCATATTAAAAAGATCCCATAACAGCAAGTCTTAAGATGCTTTGCCCCACTGTTGAAGGATGAGAGAAAAGGCAGTAATTGGCAAAAAGCAAGAAAGGAGATAACTGATTGAAGTCTTTCTTTGTTTGAGTGGGAATCAAAAGTGTGGCTTTTCTTATAAAGTTTCGTTACTCTTACAAAAAATGTTTAGAAGTGTTTTCCAAGTCTCTTTAAGAAAACTGAGAAAAGGGACCGATTCCACTTTATTGTCTTGCCGTGGTAATCCAAAAAGATGGCCGTATGAGAAAAGGAAAACAAACCTATTTCAAAAGCACTAATCAAACATAGTTGGCATCTTCTTAGAGATGTTATTTCTGCTTTTTTACTGTTGCTCTTTGATATTTCAGAAATCTTCGGACCTCATTTCAATCTTGATATTGTTTTTCATCTTGTTTGCCGCCCGATACAAGTTGCTTTTCGTCCTTTCCTTTCCATTCCTTAAATCTCTTGCAAAATCCTAGAGAAGAACATGCATATAAGAAAATTAGGGTCAGAATGACTCCAATTCAACTTCAAATGAATAAGAAACTCTCTTGTTTAATACATAAAGAATAGAATCCAAAGCCTCTTGATTCTTTTTCCCCCAAATGCGGGTTTCTAATTTTGTATTTCCTAAATATGCAAATAGTGTTTCTCAACAGTCTCGTAACCTTTATACAACCAGGAACATTTTACACTTTGTGCAACTCTAATTGCAAAATTGTTTTACATTATGCGCATGGTAAATCAACCATTGCATTGGCAAAACATGTTCCTCGAGATGCCATGATTGTTACCATCGAAGATCGATGACGTCAAAGTTCAGATTAGGATTCATATACACATCTGTACAGGAATTGTAAATGGGGCACCCATCAGGAGGTCCATCGTGTGGATGAAAGCCACGTTGCTGGCACTGTCTGATGACAGACATGCCACCCGGAGTTGTCAAACGAAAAATGCCTTGTTTTCTGCACTCAGAAGGATGACAAGTTAAAAAATAATTAAATAAATAGCAAGGAATAAAAAATTAATTAATTATTATAATATACTTCTCACCTTGACGAATCTCTTGGCGCCATTACTATTGCTACAGCTGCTGGCAACATAATCTAGATACACAAACAATCATTTCTGTCAGGTTTAAAGAACAGTAAGAAAACATACACACACACAAATTGTATTCTTCACTGCAAAGGACCAAGTTCCTGGAGATTCTGCTAAAACGTGGATCTAAAGTTACTAAGAGAAAGTAAAACACAAGAAAGCAGGGGATTTTCAGATTGGCACGCTGGAAGTTATTCCTGGCAACATGTTACAAACTACATTCTGGAATCCCAAATTGAGGAGAAAATGTTGTTTATAGAGTACTAGTCTCTTCCAATTTCACAAGCAGATTGCTACAAAGGAAACAGCTTGAAATGGGTTCAGAAGGACCACTGTGCAATTTTCATTCCATAAGGAGATTGAGAAACCATGAAAAGAAGAATGTTAAAAAATAAGAACAAAGAGATACCTAAAAGAAGAAAGACATCATTTTCACATTACTCTATCCAGTCCAGTCCTATACACTATACAATGATTTCTTCCTTCCCTGACAGTTTCTTGTGCCAGACACTGTCTCCACCTCCAAATATGCACAAAAATGACGGTATTCAAATTAATGACCAAAATGTAATTAGCAGCAACCTATATGAAATAACTGACAAACATTTACAAATGACTCAATCTGTACAAGGCACTATATTTGTACTGATATGAAAAGGCACACACCTGGTACTGAGTAGTGAGTATGAAGATCAATTGATGACATGAAACATGATTGCGTAGGATGCGTGTCACGGACTAAGCTTTCTCCCAACAAGCACTAGCCCGCGAGGCACTTGAATGGACGCTTCCACCCAAGTCAGCCCTCAATAGATCGAGATCTGAACAAATAACCATAAACCATGGTTAGTCTCAAGCATTCACAATAAGGCACAATATATCAATATCAATCTCATCCATACACACAACAAGGCACATTCACATCGAGAAAGAAAAGAAACACATCGAGGCAACAATCGGGCATTCAATCGAGGCAAATTTCATTAAAATCGGGGATCATACATCGGGACCTCCCCCCATCACCAGGGCCAGGGGGGCAGCCCATGGTGGGTGACCTAAGCTCGCATAGCACCCGGTGAGACAGCCCAACAATACCCTGCCGGCTCACCCCCCCTAAAGAGCCTTAGAGATTTTAGAGCTATGCTACCAGTAACCGTTACAATGTTTGAAATGGGGACACTTTTCCTAACACAAGGGGTCTACCCGGCCATGGCCCTATACATGGGTGGCTCATGGCAACCTAAGTCCCGATCATGGCCTTATACAAGGTTGGCTCATGACATCCTCCCCCACCTATTCTAACGACGTCCTCGTCGACTTGCTGGCTTGAAATTCTTCGATCTTCCTTTGAAATCTCTGGAGGTCGTGCTCTCTCTCCCAGCTGGTTTTTTCTAGGCCTAGTCCCTCCCACTTTAATAAGTACTCCCGAACTAGTCTTCGAGATATCTTGGTTTCCCTGTCAGCTAAGATCTCTTGGACTCGACGCTCTGAGGGTGGTTTCATGGTGATGGCGGCTCTGGTTGACTCTCTTCGACCAGCATCTGTAGGATCTGCATGGAATGGCTTCAAGTTGCTCACATGAAATACTGGGTGCACCTTCATCCACTTTGGAGGGTCGATTTTGTAGGAAGCATTCCCCACCTTGGAAAGGACCCTTACTGGACCTTCGTACTTGCGCACCAATCTACGATCTCTCTTCCTCAAGAACCTGGTTTGTTCAGGGACTAATCGAACAAGAACCAAATCCCCAACTTGAAATTGTTGAGCTCTACGACCCTTGTCTGCCCATTTCTTCATCCGTTTTGACGCTTTCTCTAAGTAGGCTTGTGCGATCTCCGTGTTTTGTTTCCACTCCTTGCTAAGGTTGAATGCTCTGGGATTCTTTCCTCCATATTGTTCCAAGGAAGTGTGGGGTAGCCTTGGTAATTGTCCGGTGACCACCTCAAATGGGCTCTTGTTAGTGGAAGAGCTTTTGTTGGAATTAAAACAGAGTTGAGCAACGTCCAATAATGAGGGCCAGTTCTTTTGGTTGGCGTGGAAAAAATGCCTCAAGTATTCCTCTAACAATCCATTGAACCGCTCTATTTGGCCATCAGTTTGAGGGTGATAGCTCGAGGAGATGTTGAGTTGGGACCCCAAAATCTTGAAAAGTTCTCTCCAAAAGGACCCCGTGAATCTAGGATCTCTATCGCTGACAATGTTTTGGGGGAGGCCCCAATACTTGACCACATGTTTGAACAATAGTCGAGCTGTGTCCTCCGCTGTACAGTACTTGGGAGCAGGAATGAATGTGGCATACTTAGAGAACCGATCAATCACCACCAAGATAGCTCCAAGATCGCCAACCTTGGGTAGGCTCGAGATGAAATCGAGGGAGATGCTTTCCCACGGTTTGGTAGGCACCGATAAAGGTTCAAGCATACCTGCAGGTTTTCTCTTCTCGACTTTGTCTTGTTGGCAAATGAGGCAAGTCTTCGTATATTCCATCACATCTTGTCGCATTTGAGGCCAATAATATCCTTGTTTCAATAACGCCAACGTGCGCTGCCAGCCCGGATGTCCCGCCCATGGGGTGTCATGACACTCCCTCATCAGCATCTGTCTCAGACCTCCTGCTCTTGGCACAAAGACTCGAGGTCCCTTGGTCCACAAGACCCCATTTTCTTTCCAGAAATGTTTGGACTTCCCTTCTTCCACTAGCTTCAAAATGGCACAGGCTTGCGGGTCTTTCCCTAAATGATCTCCAATCAACTTATGGATGTCTGTAGTGGCTCTGCTAGCCACCATTGGGGCCATTATTCTGAGGGCCGCTAACTCTGGCCGCCTGCTCAAGGCATCCGCCACTTGATTAGTCTTTCCCGCGGTATGCTCAAAACAAAAGTCGAACTCAGCTAAGAATTCCTGCCACCTAGCTTGTTTCGCCGTGAGTCTTGGTTGGGTGAGGAAGTGGCTAACGGCTGTGTTGTCTGTCTTCACGACAAAGTGCCCACCCAACAAGTAATGCCGCCAAGTCCTCAAGCAATGAATCACCGCAAGGAGCTCTTTCTCCTGGGCTGTGTATTTCCTTTCAGCTTCACTCAGCTTCCTACTTTCGAATGCTACCGGGTGATGTTGTTGTAAAAGCACACCTCCAATAGCAAAATCTGATGCATCCGTCTGGATTTCAAAAGGCTTTCCAATATCAGGGAGAGCTAAGATGGGATCCTTCATAATAGCATCCTTCAATCCCTCAAAGGCCTCATGGCACTCGTTCGTCCAACACCATTTATGTTCCTTCTTCAATAGCTCCGTGAGGGCCGTGGTCTTACGAGAGTACCCTTCCACAAACCTTCTATAATAGTTGGCTAGTCCCAAAAAAGAGCGGAGCTCACTAACATTCTTCGGTATCGTCCACTCTTTGATGGCCCCGACTTTTTCCATGTCCATTCGGATGTGGTCACGTTCGACAATGTGACCGAGAAAATGGATTTGGGTCTGAGCGAATGCACACTTCTCCCTTTTTACATATAACTGGTGGTCCTGTAACCTTTGAAATACCTGGCGCAGGTGTTCTTGATGTTCTTCCAACGTGGAGCTATATACCACTATATCGTCTAAATAAATGACTACAAACTTGTCTAGGTAGTCATGAAACACCTGATTCATCAATGTACAAAATGTGGCAGGAGCATTGGTTAGTCCAAAAGGCATAACAAGGAATTCAAACGCACCATACCGTGTTACACAAGTGGTCTTCGGCTCATCTCCCTCGAGGATTCTGACCTGATGGTATCCCGATCTCAGGTCCAGTTTGGAGAAGTACTTGGCCCCGCTCAATTGATCAAACAAGTCTGCTATGAGCGGGATAGAATATTTGTTTCTTACGGTGACTTTGTTCAAAGCCCTGTAGTCGACACATAAGCGCAAGCTCCCATCATGCTTTTTCTGGAATAGCACTGGCGCTCCGAAAGGAGCCTTTGATGGTCGGATGAACCCGGCTTGTAGAAGCTCATCCAACTGTTTTCTCAGCTCGGCCAACTCTGGCGGGGCCATGCGATAGGGAGCTCTAGCAGGGGGTTTTGCCCCTGGGAGGAGCTCGATTTCGTGGTCCACTGCTCGTCGAGGGGGTAGAACCTTGGGCAACATCTCTGGCATCACCTCTCTGAATTCTTCTAACACTTTCTTCACGCCATTGGGTATTGGTTCTACTTTCGGCCCTTCTTTGTAGATCGGCATGGCCACAAAAGAGGGTTCCCCTCTCTTTACCCCTTTCTTGAATTGCAAAGCCGAAATCATTTTCTTCCCACTCTTTGGCAAGATATTGGTTGACACCACACATGGGTGTTCTCCTAAGAACAACAAGCAGCTAGCAGCGGGGATAGGGATCACCTGAGCCAACGTCATGAAGTCCAATCCTAGAACGACATCAAAGTCATCCATGGGGGAGACTGTGAAGTCTACCTTCCCTTCCCATGGCCCCAATTGGGTTGTCACACTTTTCGAGCTTCCACTGATTGCAAAGGCTGGCGAATTGACCGCCTTCATTCGCCCACAGTCTTTACTAATCTGAAGACCACACCTTTTTGCTTCTTCTGGTGTGATGAAAGTGTCGGTTGCACCTGTATCCACCATGGCCTTGGTGGCTTTCCCATTGATCGTCAAGTTCACGTACATCAAGCCTCTGCTTTGCTCTTTCTTTATAGTGTTCAATTGGGTGCGAAGGGCACTGAGGAACCTTATTGAGCCCATCCTAGCTGGCTCCTCTTCAGCTTCTTCAACGCTCTCAGGGGCTTTTGCAGACTCTTGGGATGAGGTCCTTAAGGCATTAAGGGCTCCTCGGTGCGGGCACTCAGCCACTCGATGCGGCCCCTTGCAAAGAAAGCAAGCAAGCGGTTGCCTAGGCTTGAAAATCCCTGCGTTGTTTGTCCTAGGCTGGGTGCTATCTCGCCCAAAGGACCTCCTGTCTGATCCCCAACTGAAGGGTCGGTCCAACCTAGTTATCTTTCCCCCACTCCCAAGATTAGAGTTACTGCCAGTTGGTGGAGGGTTCTTCCGTTTTAACGAACCATCATTAAAATCATGAAGACGTTCCGCTGCAGCCATGGCCGTCGTCACATCTTGCACTCTTTGCCTCTATAGCTCTGTCCTCGCCCACGGCTTGAGGCCCTCAATAAAATGGAATAACTTGTCCTTTTCGGACATGTCCCTAATATCCAGCATCAGGGTAGAAAAGTTCCTCACGAACTCTCGCACCGTTCCGGTTTGCACCAACTCTCGAAGTCTCTTTCGAGCTATATAATCCACATTCTCCGGAAAAAACTGGTTTTTCAGTTCACGCTTCAGATCCGTCCAAGTCTTAATCGGGCACTCGTCATCGACAAACTTGGAGCGCCACCACAACTTGGCATCCCCTATGAGGTACATCGATGCCATTGTCACCTTGTCTTCCTCTGAACTTGTGTGTACAGCTCGGAAGTATTGTTCCATGTCGAACAGGAAATTCTCAAGTTCCTTAGCATCCCTCGCCCCCTCATAGCACCGAGGCTCCGGCACTTTGGGCCTTTGTCCCCTGTCCGTCGAGCTCGAACCCGAACTGGCCACCGCCATTTGTAGGATGCTCATCTGAGCCCTGAGCTCCTCAAACTCCTTGTGGAGAATGTTCAAGGCATCTCTAGCCTCTTCGCTCACATTGTGGAGAGTATCGGACAACTCCCGCTGGGTTGTCTCGATCTCCCTCACTCGATCTTTTGTCACCATATGAGTTTTCATTGCGGCCACCGCGGCCTCAAGTTCCTCAATTCTCTGCTGATGATCCGGTCCACCACTTGTGGCCATCTCATCCATTTCTCTAGCACTTCTCAACCGTGCTCTGATACCACGTGTCACGGACTAAGCTTTCTCTCAACAAGCACTAGCCCGCGAGGCACTTGAATGGACGCTTCCACCCAAGTCAGCCCTCAATAGATCGAGATCTGAACAAATAACCATAAACCATGGTTAGTCTCAAGCATTCACAATAAGGCACAATATATCAATATCAATCTCATCCATACACACAACAAGGCACATTCACATCGAGAAAGAAAAGAAACACATCGAGGCAACAATCGGACATTCAATCGAGGCAAATTTCATTAAAATCGGGGATCATACATCGGGACCTCCCACCATCACCAGGGCCAGGGGGGCAGCCCATGGTGGGTGGCCTAAGCTCGCATAGCACCCGGTGAGACAGCCCAACAATACCCTGCCGGCTCACCCCCCCCTAAAGAGCCTTAGAGATTTTAGAGCTATGCTACCAGTAACCGTTACAATGTTTGAAATGGGGACACTTTTCCTAACACAAGGGGTCTACCCGGCCATGGCCCTATACATGGGTGGCTCATGGCAACCTAAGTCCCGGTCATGGCCTTATACAAGGTTGGCTCATGACAATGCGCCTGGGGATTGAAACATAGTTAATTAGTTAATCATCATAAAGACTATAAACACCCATCCTCTCAAACATTAAAAAGATGATATTCAAAATTTGCTATTAGACATGCAAAAGTCAAATTAAGAAAATGGAACAGATCAGACAAGTGACAACTATGTGAAACAGTGCAATATATGACGTCATATACTCTATTATATGACATAAGATCTTGATTAATGGACTTGGAAATAAAGATAGACTTCATTTGTTTACTCTAGACCTGGTAATCTGAGACCCAAACACAACACAGAATAAACAGTGTTTGGGCTTAACCTAATAGTGTTTTAATCGAACCATTATGTTTAGGACACTACAATTTTCAGGTCTTAAGTGTGTTAAACATGCTTAACATGATTATGACATGTTTAACACGTCTAATTAATCACGTCTCATGTCAAACTATTTAATATGACACATTTATTATGGTTGATGTTGATAGACATTATTTGAAGATTTTTAACTTAATTTACGGACACTGTTATTTTGTTATAGTTGTTTTATAACTATGAGTTTCAAATTTAAATTATGGAATCCTGTTTTATTTTTATATATGTTATTAAATTATGTATGCTATTTTTATGTATGTTATTATGAGGCCTAGTGTGTTGTTGTTGCAATAAATTATTAATGAAAAAAAAATTGGTTTCAAAAGGTTATTTCTTAAAACAAGTAAATAGGTTAATAATCATGTTTAATCGTGTTAAATTCGTGTCATGTCTTATAAATTTTAAACCAACTCGTTTTCGGAGTCAGTTGTGTTACATGTGTAACACGTATAATAAACGTATTCGTGTTCATATTTAGGATCTTGACAAGTTTAATTAATCATGTTGCGTTTGTCTTTACCCATATAACTCTTAATATCCTATCTAGACATGACACACACTATAACACAAATTTTCAGATCTAGTTTACTCCCTCCCTTCCCATATTGATTTGGTTCATAAACATATGACAGACTAACGAGACATAATGGACAATGTACATTCCTCTTTTTTTGCCCATTATAAGCTCCTTTAATGTACCTAATCCCCCTTTCTTTTTCCTTTGGTTTCCACAATACAAAAGGAAGGATACCAACAGTACACCTCAGCTGGTACTGCACATATTTGGTTCATACAGATATGATAGAGTTAAAAGACATAATGGAGCAATGTAAGCTCCTCTTTTTGTTTCGGCCATTATAAGCTCCTCTAATATGCCTAATTCCCCTTTCTTCTTCTTTTGATTTCCACAGTACAAAAAGAAGGCTACCAAAAGTACCCCTTGGCTGGTCCTGCACATATGACAGAGTAAGGAGACATAATGGAGCAATGTAAGCTCCTCTCATTTTTAGGCCATTGTAAGCTTCCTCTAATATACCTAATTCCCCTTCTTTTGGTTTCCACAGTACAAAAAGAGGATACCAAAAGTACGCCTTGGCCAGTCTTGCACAAGGCAGGCACATATGGACTTAACTGTTTTCTCTTTTGGTGTCCCTTTTTTTTTTTTTTCTTTTTTTAACAATATGATGAGCATTCAGAATTTGGAACACTCCGAATGCATATTTTATAGTTGCCTTCCTACTAAACATTCAGCTTAATACATTATTACCCTAAATATGAGATTGATTTCAGTTTAGCATACATGCTCTTAACTGAAGCATTGTTCTCACCCCTAATACCCTGCATTATGCTGCCTTATGCTCCATGCAAAGACTTCAATAAACCAGGAACTTAGCATACAAAAACTAAATGGCAAAGACTTCAACTGCAAGAGATGGTTTCTTATACCAAAAATAAGGGTGCAAACGTGCCAAGGCTGTTCAGGAAAGTTGAGTCTCTTTTGTTGAGGCTCAGCTCAGCTAACTTTAATTGAGCTTAAAAAATACAAAGCTCAATTTGAGCTAAAAAACCTTGTTTCAGTTTGGCTTGGTTGACTTTATCTATTTCTATATATTTACTACAAATAAAGGGCTAGACTAAGCCTTCTTTGTGGGCTTTAAATCATCACGGCCATAGTGGCCTTTCACCCTTGGCTTATGCAATCCTACATATGCATGATGGCTTCGATTCAGTGGAGAAACCACTAGAGGAGGCTTATATATAGAGACAAATCCTCCTTATCAAGTGCTCATTTATGGGCACTTGAAAAATCTTTTTACAAAAGTATACTTTTTAAAATTTTGTATGACTTTTAATCTATGCTATGCCTACTTTCTCAAATATAAATATCTTCCAAAGGTAGAGAACTTAGGAAAAACAAAACAAGGTTTTATCAAGCCTTTTCATAAATAGATTATAAAGTTCGTTTATTAAATGAGTTTGAAATTTTTGTTCAAGTTACCATTAAGGGAGGCAAAATCAATTTATAACTGAGCAGATGTTTGACTATGATTTCAAGGGAGTAGATTATAAAACACTTACATGAATCCACCCGAGGGGGAAGAGAGATTTCTTAGCCTGTACTTCAAATATTTCCTCCTCATTTGTCGTTTGGCACTAATAAAAAAAAGTGTAATAAAAGGAATCACATAACCCGCTAAAAGAAGAGTAAAAATGGAAAGCCAGAGAAATTTGATTGACAGAAAATTAAAGTTCGATATGGTAAATCTACAATGACACAGCCATACCGAGTCAGATGTTGATTCCTGCTTAGGGATAATAAGAGTGGTAACATAGAACTTTCTATTTTTCTGCAGACCAGTATCACATTAAAACTTCGGTATTGCATTGTGTCAAGACTAAGCAATGTTCTTAAGGCATCAGTACTTACAAGTGAACCTGCGAGGACACCACAAGTTTCTAAATTCCTATAGGTATTTGATTTAGCCAGCTTCATGAAGCTTTCCATCATCATTGTTGCCTGGAACATACAAATGCCAAGTCAAGACAATTGGGAGTTCTTGAGAATAATAGACATTAAAAGATCTTTCATTAGAATAACGAAATTATGCCATTGTCATTCCAAGAAGCTTGATATTAGGTGAAGACAAGTTAGAATAGACATCAACAGAAATTTCATGAAACTTACAATGTGCAACTGTAGAGGAGATTCAGAATGAACAAGACCATCTGCCAAGGGGTTCTCTATTCTACAATCTGTCTCTGTCACCTGGGGAGATATTGCATTAACTAAATCCTGTACTTCTGCAAGTACAGGAGGAGGAGATGGCTGTCTGGTAACGTTTATATGAACTGGGGTAGTTTCTGATTCTTCAAAAGAAATCATTGGATAAGGTTCATCCACATGAAACTTCTGACTATTCTCACAATTATCGATAGTAAGAGTTGATTCCATGCTTGATTCTTCAGGTTCTGAGTTGCTATGATCATTCTTCCCTAGAAGTTCATTTTCTATAGGCTGCTGCAAACTGTTTACACATAAAAACCATCAGATAAAAAGGTATTCAGACCATAAACTTCTCCAAAACAATCAAAATAAATAAATAAAAGGATATTAGCATCACGCATGGCGTTTTTCAAAATTCACTTCAAAGGCAATATGCTTCTATAAATAATCCTTTAATGCCTCCAAAAATCATCTTATTTTCCTTTAAAATCGATCCATGTAACTTGATCAACAAGAAATAGGAATTAAGAACTCCCAAAACCAACAAAGGGGCTTACCTTGGGAATTCAATTGGAGTTAGGTCAATGTTTCTTGGAAATTCCACCTGCAGTAAGAAATGTAAGCGGAGTTTCATAGTGAGCACCAGAGAATTAGGAAGATATCATCATACCCCTTTTTCACTCTTAGGAGGCTTTATCGGAAAATTCAAACCAAACACCATCTTATGGGCAGAGTAAGTTGTCCTTATCACTAATATGAAATGCAAAATAAGCAAACTAGCAAGCACTTCATTTTGAAATACATAATTTTGTACAAGATATAAATTTCAAAACATAATCAAAGCAATCTTCCAATGAGCTTAAGTGATTGCCCGCAAAATGTTTCCACTCCACTCTTTCTCCATTAAAAATGAAAAGGAAAAAAAAGAAAAGCCTTAGAGTTCCCCATAGTTTGTTGCTCATGGTTACTTTTTATTTTAAATTTAATAGTGACAAGTTCAAATGTTAACAAGATAGCAGAAACTTTATTCAGTTTGATAATGTTTCAAAAACTATGGAAGTGATTTCTTGCATTCGGCAATTGCATAGATTTAGGATAAAATAAGGTAGTTAACCTCATAATTTTAGTATTTGTTTATATTTTAAAGATTATACATGGTGATTTGACAGAAGAGCCAAAAAGGGACCTAAGGATAGATTGCTTTCCCTGGCCATAATGATTAACTTTCAGAGACTGCACAAATTTTGGGAAAAAAAAAAAGGCTGGATTACACTTTTCTTCATTGTTTTACATGATGGCCCATTCCAAAATCATTATTATTTGTATATTACAGAAACACGGGATAATGAGGGAAAGTAAAATATTAAATGCTCTTTACGTGAAATGCTCTTTGTTCATAGTCTGTTATTCTGAAGATCCTGAAAGGGAGAAGAGAGTACTATTGGGACAAAAAGGTTGTTTAGATCGTTGAAATTAACCAAAAATGCATATCTTAGGACCACACATACTGACATGAAGGGAAACTTTTAACGAATCATTGCTTACAGTTCAACTTTGCCTCTAATAAACAGCATAGCAACAATGCAAACCTCAAGTAGTAAGTGCTCTGATTCCACTCCAAAAAAAATGACAAAAGCAGAAATGCAACTAATTACAGGACATTAATATGTAATCTACCCAAAACTTCCCCCATAAAACAGACAAAATATGAGATTAATATGTCCCTTTCAAATACAAAGCAATATTTATAATTCATACACTTATAAATATGTGATTAATATGGCCCCTTCAAATTCAAAGAAATCATTATAGCTCACATGCATAACCCTTTATCTAGATGCAAGCATGTTTTTTCTTTTCTTTTTTCCAAAGTCTACCACAAACATAGATTTGGGTTAATGCTTAAAAAGATGAAGGACTGGATGAGGACAATTATGTTTTATACACAATTTAGGGGGGAAATATAATACCTTCTAGTTAAAGTGTTTCATCCATTAAACCTCCACTTTACAACATTAGTCAAACATCATTTTCTTTAGATTCACAGAGGCTTCAAAGAATCCTATTATCATAACTTCCTCATTTTCAAATATCCATTTTGATGCATCCAGCATAAAAAAATGCCATACTTATACATATAGAATAGCAGAACTACTACATTATTTAAAACCTAAGTAGAACCACATACTGACCTAGATAGCAAATACAAACTTAGCAAACTTTCTATCTTGAAAAGAGTAAAGCTAGATACAAATAGAACCAATAAGAATCAACCAGTAATTAAGTGATATTTCACCAACCAATGAAACACCAACTGGTAAATGCTTGTTTGAAATTTGAGAATGTGCGTATAAATCTTATGTTCTAAATCAACATTTTGTTAACAGGCATATTGTCAATTTCGTAAACAGTGGCATCAAATAGAATAGCCAGTAGTACTCCTATATGTAAGGAAAATTAAAAGTATAAAAGTCATTAAGCAGAAGGGTTATAAAGTTGCACAGAACCCAAGATTTCACATATGGAAAAGTAGGTAATTGTTTAGTGTTGTCTATTGTAGCATCCATAAGTTAAACATTAGAAGGTAGGTCAGAAGAAGGGGAGGAGACAAAAATAAAAAGATCAATGTAGACCTTTCTACCCTATTGAGGAGCTAAAACCAACTCTTTACTTCAAGTTCTGAACCCTATGCAAAATTACTGGGAAACCCCTAAAATTAAGAAAACTACTTACATTCTCCTGAATTGCTCTTCCATTGGTTTAGAATATGAAAACTGCTGAGTTCTTGAACCATAATAATTAAATTCTCGTGCAGCTGATCTAACTGCCTGCAGTTGAACAACATAATTCATTTTAATCAAGCTGGATCTACGAGAGTAAAAGAATAAATCAGAAATTGTGCAGCTATAATTATAAAAGAACACTAAGACTATATGATCAAAAGGCAGTCAAAAGAAATTAAAGTAGCAGCTCATTAGCAGAATTAAGAAGCACTGACAGTACCTTTGTAACACCATAATACGACAAACTCTGGTTTTTAACAGCAGATTGATGTAATGAGTTACTTTGATAAGTATATCTTCTGTTTAATTCATTGATCTTTTGTTGAACAGCTGGCTTCAAATCTTCTAGCTCATCCAAGGCATTGAGTAGTCTCTACAACAAGAATTTGAAATCAAATTTCATATCAAACCTTTAAAACAATAAGGGATACGCATAAAGAAGAGGCGGGGAAAACAGAGAAGAAATTACCTTTTTCAAGTAAACCTTTTGGTTTTGCAGAGATGCTCTATAATCACAATGGCATGGTATTGTTTCAGAAACCAAACTGAAGAAAAAGGGCCGGTGAGGTTGGGCACAAGTAGCTTTATAAATGCAAGTTAAAGGAATATCAAGAATCTCAAAGAATCCACCATAAAGAGTCCTTTTCTCACCTTGAAAACCTTAGAAGCATGATGTATAGATCTATAATATTCTTCTCAGCTCGAAAGATGTCAGCCTAGAGAGCATTGAGTATATCAGAAAAAGCCGGATCATTTAGAGCAACAAGTTATTAAGAAAGAACATATAAACATAGTGCGGCCAGTATTAAATCATGATCAGCCAAATATTTAACAAAAGAATCTAACGCAGCCAAATATTTATGATTCTACTTTCCACTATTAGCTTTATCTTTTTAGCTAACTATTTAGGAACCAAAAGCAAAAGCAAAAAGCAATACGAAAGGAACAAAAGCAACATCCAAACGAGGTTTAAGTCACTTTAATCAACTAAAAATACCAAATTTTGGAATACAAACAGCACAGAAAATATTTATTATATATACAGAACTAAATTTAACGTGAAAATATACAAATTTAATGAATAAAAAAAACCTATTTGAGAATATTGTCGGCAATCCGGTAGTAATACCGGAGAGAAATCCGATTATCAACATCGAGTCTTTGCGCACTCGCCGCTATGTTTATTCTTTCAGTCGAGGACCTCATTCCTTCCTTCTTCTTTTCTGGTTAGCAAAATAATGCTCGTTGGACCGGCGGATTCCGATCAACTAATCAATTCCGAGAGCTAGAACCTTTGAGATGTGTTGGCAACAGCTGATCGAGTGATAAGGAAGGGACAGGGTTCAAAAGAGAAAGGTCATTCTGCTATCTGGTGGGAGCAATCATGCAAATGCCGAAACTCTTATTTCAACATTTTCACTAAATTTTTTCTGTTGTTTGGCTGCAGGGTTTCAGTATCTTGTATTTGGCCCGGACTAACACGATTTAAACATATCATTTGCCTTTGAACCTGTGAAAATTTTTTCTCAATTAATTCTTCTCAAAATATCCGTACTTTTTGTTTAAAAAATTATTCTTATTTCTTCATAATAAAAGCTAGACATATTATATTATAAAATAACAACCCCTGCAATTTATGATTTTATTATCTAATATGTACTGCAATAGTAAAATATATTTCAAAAGATAAAATAAACATGAAAACCTTTTGATACATTTTAAATATTTTATAGATTTTAAAAGTGAAAAAATCATAACGGGTAGAAATAAAAAATATCATTTTTTTACAATAAAAAAAAACAAATGAATCTTAGCTAAGTTATAAATTAACCCACAATTCCAAATAAAATCCCTTTCTTATTTTATCTTAAAAATAAAAGAAATTAAAAAAAAAACAAAGTCGTTAATTAGTTGTTGTTATTTATTACATTTTTTTATTAAAATATTTGTTATTAAATAAAAACTATAACCTAATAATATAATAAAAATATAGTTTTATAATTGAAAAAAAAAACATACATATATTGTAGGAGAAATTACAAATAACCTGAAAGAAAAATAAATGATCAGATAATTATAAAACAAAATTTAAATTTGGTGATTCTTTCTAAGACATTAGATTTTTTTTTTTTTTGTTTAAGTGAATTTTTCAAATTATGGGAAGATTGTTTTGTTTCTAGGTTTCAACAGAAGGGATTGAAAGCTAGGGATGAAATTGAATATTGGCCGAATGGTTTTAAGGTGATCTGGTTAGGCGGGCACAAAAAAGGGCTGAATAGGATTGGGTTATGGTGGATTAGATGGTGCAAATTGGCTGAAGTAGGGGGAACTATTTGGTTTCAAGAGTTGATTTTGGTGATGACGGGTTTCGGCAATAGGGATTGGGTTTTTATCTGAAGGATTTTTTACTGTGAATTTTTTTTAAAGGAATTTTTTTGTTCTGTTCTATATATTCTTGTTTGGTCAACTGTCTCTTTGTCTCAAATTCCCTTTGTTTTATCTCGGTTCTTATGGAATCACAGATCAAACTAAGATAAAAGAATTCAATTCGACAGTAGTAGGTTGTTGCAATTTAGGTTTTTTTATGTTTATCTATGGAATTGGACTTTACAACCAACATTGGAATAGAAATGCAGCAATATAGCCACTACATTTGAAAAGTAATTGGGGAATTTGACTACTTGTGGCATGGAGTGAGTAGCTTGCTACCTTCGATAGTACCAGCCACTTTAAATTTTTTTTCCCTTTTTTGTGATTTTTCAATTTTTAATTAACTTAATTAAATTTAAATTAATATATAAAATAAAAAAATAAAATTACGCTTTTAAAAGTTAATTTAGGCCTAAATTGAAGTTTGGGCCTGAATAATTGATTTGGATTTCTCTTAGGCTTTCTTACCCAAGTGATTGAATTTTGATCCAAAATTAAAATGAATTAGGCTTTAGCAATGCAAAATGATTTGAATAATGACTAATCCAAAACAAGCCTAAATGGGCTCAATCAAATTAAATTGTTAACTGGCCTAAATTGAAACATTTAAATTAAACATAAATATTGAACAAACTCGAATCAACCCTTGACAAAATTAGGTATTTACTGCTATCTCTCTTTACATATTATTAAGAATCAGGAATAAGGCAAATATAATAATTTTGTTTGATGTCATCAATTCAAGGATTTTCAATGGTTTTTTTCTAGTTCTTATTTTTGTTTTTGTTTTGTGTTTTTTTTTTCTCTTTCAAAATTTTAGGAATGAATTTTAAAAGCTCATCAATTTTTGAAAAAACAAAATGTAAAAGCTCATTTAAACAAAGCATCAATGACTTTTGAAAATAAATGTAAAAGCTCTTTTAAGCAAAGATTCGGTAACTTTTGATAATAAATGTAAAAGTTCCTTTAAGCAAAAGCTCAACAACTTTTGATAATAAATGTAAAAGCTCCTTTAAGTAAAGGCTCAACAACTTTAAAAAAACTCATCTAAAATAATTCTTTTAAGTAAAGGCTCAATAATTTTAAAAAATCTTAAACTAGAAAAGCTTTGGTGCAAAGGCTCGACAACTTCAAAAATCTAATTTTGTAAAAGTTTTGGTATAAAGGCTTGACAATTTTGAAAATCTAAAACTAGAAAAGCTTCTGCACAAAGGCTCAACAACTTTAAAAAAGTTTCTTTTCCTTCTTTTTTTTTTTTTTTGGAAACAAATTTATAGTGGAATTGAAGATTTAAAATCGAAAGACTCTAGATTCATAATAGACAAACGAATTATAGTTTAGAGAACTCTAGATTCATACCAAACTAAATGATTCATAGTTTGAAGAACTCAGGATTTATAGTAGAGTAAATGATTTATAGCTTTGAAAACTTTGGATTCACAACATAGTAAATGATTCACAGTTTTGAGGACTTTAAATTTATAGTTAAGTAATCGATTTATAGTTTAAAGGCTTTGGATTCACAACAGAGTAAACGATTCACAGTTTGAAAGCTCTGGATTCACAACAAAATAAATGATTCACAGTTGAAAGGCTTTGGATTCACAACAAAGTAAAGGCATTGGTTCAAAAGATTTGCACACATGAATTCAAGGATTCACATATGATTCAGTCATTCGCAGGTGGGATTAGAAAATATTTCAAGATCAAAACTTTCAAGATTCACAAAAGTTTTAAAAATTATAAGAGTTCAAAAATTTGCAAAAGTAAAATATTCATAACTTTAAAAAATATGAAAGAACCAAATATTCAGGCTTCCATAGCTTCCATAGCTTTCTTAGGGATCCAAAATAAGAGCAAAATAGCTTCCATAGCTTTCTTAGGGATCAAGATAAATATTCAGGCTGATGAAAGATGGTTTCCTTGCCAGACATAGGCGTTTAAGCTAATAAAAGATGGTTTTCTTCACCAAAGACGTGCATTCAGGTTGATTTTTTTGCTAAAATATGCAGTGAAGATAAATATTTAGAGTAATAAAAGATGGTGTAAGAATGTAGAATCTTTAGTACCACAACTGATGTTTCATTTGCATTCTAGATAAAACATGCATTTGCATTATCCACTCACTTGATCTTGGTTTAGTCTAAATTATTTCTTATGGTTCGTGGTTTCATCCCGATCATTTATTTTTTACCTCGACTCGATTTTGGTCATTTTATTTTGACTCATGGTTTCATTCTGATTACTTGATCTTGGGTCAGTCCAAATCATTTTTTATAATTTATGCTTCCGTCCCGATCAATTATTTTTTACCTCGACTCGGTCTTGGTCACTTTATTTTGACTTGTGATTTCATCCCAATTACTTGATTTTAGCTTAGTCCAGATCATTTCTTATGATTTGTGCTTCCGTCCCAATCATTTACTTTTGACCTTGACTCAGTCTTGGTCACTTTATTTTGACTTGTGATTTCATTCTGATATATGATTTATGGTTTCATTCTAATCATTTATTTTTGACATCGACTTGGTCTTAGTCATTTTATTTTGACTTGTGGTTTCGTCCCAGTCATATGATTTGTGGTTTCATCACAATCATTTATTTTTGACATCGACTCGATCATGGTCGCTCTATTTTGACTTGTGGTCTTGTTCCAATCATATGATTCATAGTTTTGCCTCGATCATTTATTTTCGACCTCAACTCGATCCTAGGCGCCACATTTTAACTTGTAATTTTATCTCAATCACTTGATCTTGGCTTAGATCAAATCATTTCTTACGATTCGTGGTTTCATCCCGGTCACCCAATCTTGGTTCAGTCTAGGTCATTTTTTAGATTTACAGATCATTCCCAATTCAACTCAAACAAAGTGGGTGTCTAGGTCTTTGTAACATCTCTATTTGACAAAAATGTACAAAGAGGGGTAGTTGTAGATACTCATTTACGTCAGGGCTTGATTAAGCCTAATCAATGTCTAGGCCTATTTAAGCCCCGATTAGGTTCATTGGTATACAGGCCCAATTAGGCCCATTGATGTTCGAGCCCAGTTAGGTCCATTTGTATCCAAGCCTAAGTGGATAGCTTGTTTATTATTATTATTATTATTATTATTATTATTATTATTATTATTATTATTATATTATTATTATTATTATTATTATTATTATTATTATTATTATTATTATTAATGTTATTATTCCCTTTTTTTCTAGATTTTTTGAATTTTTTCCACATTTTTTTGGGTTTTTTGAAGAACTTTGAATTTTTCGACAAAGTTTTTCGATAAAGGTTAAAGTTTCTAACAAGATTTCCAAAATCTAACACGTTTTTCAAAACTGATGGGTTTTTTAATTTTCGATTGAATTTTTTGATGACATTCACATAAACTGATAAGTTTCCAAATTTTAGTTGAATTTACTAGTGGGTTTCTAGAGAGAAGGTAGAGGAAAAATCAGCTAGAGAGAGAAAAGATGAGGCATTTAAAGGACTTTTATACTACAGTCAAATGATGTCATTTTAAATAAGCTAGGATCCGCACGTATACTCGACGACCCACGTGCAGGCCTGTACTCCAACCCGACTCGATCATAGGTTTTTCTTTTTTCATTTTATTTTTATATTTTGATTTTGATTTTATTTTATTTTAGTTTTAACCTATTTTTTATTTTTTGGTTTTTTTTTTAAATGAAAAAAATGAGAAAAAAGTTATTTTTGCCACTTTTATTACCAAAAAAAAAAAAGTTTCAAAAAAAATAAAAAATGAAAAATAATTTTACAAAAAAAAATGAAAAACTTTTTCACTAAATAAATAATAAAAAAATTAATTTTTATCCTCTAAACTATTGAAGGATTGCTTTGAAGTGAGCCATACCAAACGATTTTAAGGCTTCACTAATTTTTCTAGAATAAAATTAATAAATCTGACGACGGTGCCTCTTCAAAGTGGGACACTAGTCTTTATGAATACTCTTAAGGTGAGAGAATTATCCTAATTGCTACCAAACTATTTGGATGATTTTAGGGTTAATTTTTAATATTAAATTATTTGGTAAATCATAAAAATGATCAAAGCTTGGATAATTCGAAATCAAACTGGTACCATCCTTTGGATGGGCATCGTAGGGTGCTACTACCTTCCCTATACATAACCAACTC